TTGCGAGGAAGTATCCGGCGGGAGCCGCCGCCGTGGTTGCAGTCCGGGGGCAAGGGGCGCAGTCTGAGCACGAAGAGTTCCCTGGACGAAAAAAAATTCGTGCGAGCCCCTGGAGGGGCTCTTCCCTTGAAACACGCATGTGTTACCGGAGGGGGGATCCATGGACATTATTATTCAGTCGTGTGATCTCAACAACAATAACAACAATAACAACAAGGACAACCACCACAACAACAACAACAACAACAACAACAGCAAGAACATCAACACCAACAACGACAACGACAACGACAACGACAGCAACAGCAACAGCAACAACAACAACAACGACGACAACAACAACAGCAACAGCAACAGCAACAACAACAACAATGACAACGCTTCGCCCCGCGGAAGCCCACTTCAGCCAAGCACCCAAGGACAGTGAATGACCGTTTGGTCCTCTCACTCTGAGACATGTCTATATATATGTGTGTATCCCTACCTCTCGCCCTCTCCCTAGTCTTCGCACCCCTCCTCCTCCTCATGCCCCGCCTGCCACTACTCATCCGCTATTGTTTCTTCTCAGCCTTAAACGCGCTCCTTCAACATAATATCATCCACTCTCTTCCCATTATCCCCCTTCTTTCTTCCACCTCCTACGACTCTCTCCTCCGCCCTTCTCCTTTGCCTGCACCTCATCCTCCCTCCCCCATGGTCATCCTTCTCTACATCCCTCATTCCTCCTTCACCTTTCGCTCCCCCAGTTCTTCTCCTCCTCCTCCTCCTCTTCCTCCTCCTCCTCCTCTTCCTCCTCCTCTTCCTCCCATTATCCCGCCTTATTGATTTACCCTTTATTGTGCCTCCTTCCTCCCACCTCTTCCTCCTCCTCCTCCTACTTCCTCCATCCCTCCTTCTCGTCCCCCTCCCCGCCACTCCTCCTCGTCCTCCTCGCTCCCCACTCCCCTTCCACTCATCCGACTCTGCCCCCCTCGCTACTCCGGGAGGAGGACCAGATCTGTCCCGACGGAGGAAGGAGATGAGGAGAATGGCAAAGGAGGCGGGCATCCCCAGGACTACGCAGGATGAAGCGAGGAGGGGCGGGGAATGATAACCTCACGCACCTGGTCCTCCCATTCCCCATTCGCAATCCTTCCTTCCTCTTCACTGTCTCGCTCCTACTCCCCTGCCTCCCCTCTCCTCCCTTTCCTCTTCCTCCTCCTCCTCCTCCTCCTCCTCCTCCTCTGCACTTCTCCCCCCCTCACATTCCTTGACCACCACCTCATTCTCGCCCCCGTCGTCGTTGTCGTTGTTGTCGTCGTCCACCTTCTCCTCCCCCTCCTCCTCCTCCTCCTCCTCCTCCTCCTCCTCCTCCTCCTCCTACTCATACTCCGCCTCCTCCAATCCTCCGCCTCCATACTCTCCCCTCCTGCTCCTCCTGCTCGTTTTTGACGTTGGACCAACTAGAGGCGGATGCTTGGAGCGTGCAAGCCTCCTGCTCCTCCTCCTCCTCCTCCTGCTGCTGCTGCTGCTGCTGCTGCTGCTGCTGCTGCTGCTGCTGCTGCTGCTGCTGCTGCTGCTGCTCCAACCCCTGCTCCTCCTCCTCCTCCTCCTCCTCCTCCTCCTCCTCCTCGTCCTCCTCCACCTCCTCCTCCTCCTCCTCCTCCTCCTCCTCCTCCTCCTCCTCCCAGTAGAAGGAAGCATCCAGGAGGCGCTCCTGAAGGGCAGGAGGGGCGAGCGGTTGTGCCTCAGGAACGACAGCACGGTGTCCCACGACTGGGAGAAGTCCAGCACGAGCACGAACGGGTTGGCCTCCGCCCGGGCGAACGCGAAAGAGCACGCGAATTGAGAGCAGAAATCATTCACGAGGCTCGTCCGTCCTCCCTGACCTCTGGCACCTCTCGCCGGGCAACGGGACCTTGAAAAATCAGCTCGGGGCGAAGAATCGGCCCCGGGAAACGGGGTTCAGACCTCTGGAGGATTCGCGGTCACGTCATTGGAAGAAGCAAAAACACCAAAAGCATGAACTGTTGGCGCTCCGCGCGGATTTCTTGGATCCGCGCCTGGGCCCCTCTCCCTGGCGCGCGGAGCGTGCCAGCGGCGGCGCTGGAGGCGCCGCCGGGGGGCCCAGGCGCGGATCCAAGAAATCCGCGCGGGGCGCCAACAGTTTATGCTTATGGTGATTGATCTTCTTCGGGTCGTTCCGGCGCGGCGGCGACCGCGCCGCCCGGGCAGAGCCTCAGCGGAGCTCGCCAGGGCCTGCCGTGCCCGCGGGGCCAGGCCTCCCACGGCACGGCACCGCACCAGGCGCCGCGCCGCGTCGCGCGGCAGAGCGGGCCTGTGAGCGGGGACACTGGCCCAGACCCCCGACGTCGTGATTTTATCACAACGTCGAGCTCCAGAGGTCACGAATTACACTTGACTTGGGCCCCTCGGACTCTCGACATCGCTTCCCTGGGCCAATCTCTCCGTCGCGGGCCGCTCTCTGACAGCCCTGGGGCCCGCGGACGTTTTGAGCACGGCACGCGTTGCGCATCACGACCCCAGACCCCCGAAGTCGTGAAGTTTTCTCAACGTCGACCACCCGAGGTCTCGACCCATTCCCCTGGACTGGCTTCTCATCCTAAGTCGTTTTTTGACGGCCCCGCGGCCCGCAGAGGGCCCACAGAGGCCGCAAATAGCGACCCCCCCCCCCGTCATGATTTTTTCGTTGCTCGAGGGGGTCTGGGGGAGCGGGGACGCGACCCCGCTGCGGACGGAGCCGCCCCCGCCGCCGCTGCCGCCAGAGGTATATGCCGAGGCCGCCCGGTGGGGCCAGCGGCTCAGGAGGCTCCACTGGGCGCGCCGCCTCTCCAGGGCGGCCGCGCCCTGCCAGCAGGAGCGGGCCCGACGCCGAGGGCTCCTCCTTGTCCTCCTCCTCCTCCTCCTCCTCCTCCTCCTCCTCCCCCTCCTCCTCCTCCTCCCCCTCCTCCTTCTCCCCCTCCTCCTCCTCCTGCTCCTCCTCCTCGCTCCTCCCTCCTCCTCCTCCTCCTCCTCCTCCTCTCCTCCTCCTCCTCCTCCTCCTCATCCCCCAGTCCTCCTCCTTCCTCGTCTCGTCCTCCTCCTCTCCTCTCCCTCCTCTCGTCCCTCCTCCTCCTCCTCCTCCTCCTCCTCCTCCTCCTCCTCCTCCTCCTAACTCCTCCTCCTCCTCCTCCTCCTCCTCCTCCTCCTCCTCCCTCCTCCCCCTCCTCCTCCTCCTCCTCCTCCTCCTCCTCCTCCTCGTCCTCCTCCACCTCCTCCTCCTCCTCCTCCTCCTCCTTCTCCTCCTCCTCCGCCTCCTCCGCCGCCCGAGCGGAGGCGGCGCTACAACGGCCGCGGAGGTGGGCCGCAAGCCGAGCACAGCGCGCCGCGGCAGAGCCCCGTGGCGGCAGAAATGCGCGCCTCGGCGGAAGGGAACGTCAGGTCGGGCACGTCCTCCTACAGGCGGTTCTTGGCGGAGAGATAAAAACATAGTCCAAACATATTCAAGCATGATCAAAGATAGTCATAACATCGTTCCCATATTAATGAGTTAACTAGTTGTTGAACTATGTTTTGAAAACTATGTTTTAGGTTGGGCAAGTCCTCTTACAGTCGGGCTTTGCCGGAGAAAATAATCAAACAATATTCAAGCAGGATCAAAGATAGTCAAGACATCGTCCCCACCTATTGTTTTCGATTATGTGTTGAGTATTTTCCTGTTGAAGGACACGCCCGACTTAGAGGGAGCGGCGGCCTCTCTGCCAGCCAGCGCTCGGTCACGCGGCTCTTAACGTCACCCCCCACGAGCGTCGCTGCTGCCTCTCCTCTCGGGCCAGTGGAATGACGGCGCCACTGGCCATCGTCTCCTGGCGAAGCGGTGCGATCATCGTCGTCGTCGTCAGCATCGCCATCATCAGTTTCGTCATCGCTGCCATTGTCACCGTCATATTCATCGGGCTCTGCAGTGTCACGGTCATCATCGTCATGCTCACCGTCGTCACCATCATCAACCTCCTGCCACCATCACATCATCAGCAGCATCAGGATCAGGATCAGCATCAGCACCAGCACCAACACCAGCATGAGCATGAACATGAGCATGAACATCATCATCATCAGCATATTCATCACCATCATCATCATCATCCTCAGCAGCATCATCATCATCACCATCATCATCATCATCATCATCATCACTGGGCCGTCCCCCATGTTCCCACTCCCACCAGCCCTCTGGCCGTAGGTAGTCTAGGGAGCTTCCCCTTCCAACCCCCTTTCTTCCCTTTCGGGAAAGGGTCTACCAATGCTCCTTATTAATCTACATTCCCTCCTCCACCTGGCCGGCAACCAGGAACCATGCCGACACCATGCCGACCCGCCCCCCGCCATCCCTGCCGAAAAACAATACAAACCGCACTCTTGCCTCCACAGTTGGAGCATGCACGGCCAACCGATGCCCCCCCCACCATCCCTATCTAAAAACATGCAAACTACACTTTGGGGCAAAGTCTTGAGTCATGTTCGTGAGGCCCGCGAACACGTTGTATTGTTTTTGTGACAGGGAGGGCGGGGGTGCCAGCATACGCCCTGCCGTTCGCAGGGCTACCATCCCTGACACAAACAAGACACCATGCACCTCGCGGCTGAATCTGGATCCTGCGCCGCCATCCCGCGATCACCGCAAATTGTTTTTGACAGGGACGGCGGGGGTGGTGGCGCGCGGCCTGCTGTGAGCAGGCCCACCAGACACAATGATGGGCATTGGTTTTCGACAAGGACATGGCGGGGGCCGACATGTTTCCCGATGTGTGTTGTCACGTGCGCAGGCGCACCTGACGCACTCTGCACGTGCCCCGAACGTAGCGCACCTGGCACGGCTGGAGTGCGCGGCACACCTGGCGCACTCGGAGCACGTGGCGCATCTGGCGCACCAGGCGTGCCTGGCACGCTCGGGCCCCAGGGGAGCCTGGCGCGCGTGGCGCCCGTGGCACGCGTGGCGCATCTCGCCCAAGCGTCGCGCACCTGGGGTCGGCTTTGGTTCCCTAAGCTGCCCATCCAAAGACGACCGCTGAACATGCTGAGACTCGGGTGTTACGTATGTGTTGGGAGGGCGGGTGGGAGTGAGCAAGACGGCTTGCGGGCGGGTGGGTAGCTTGACCGCTCCCCCTGCCCCCTCCCCTGGACCTGGGCGGGCGGCCTCGGCGAGGAAGCCAACATCATTGGTTTTACTGTGGTTTTGGCCCCATTTTGGCCTCTTGGGCCGGCAACCCTACTTGAAGCCCCCCTCGTCTTTGATCGATGTCCTCCAAGATGGCCCCAAAAAGCGCCCAGGAGGCCCACACTGGCTGAAAAGCAGCTGGATGCCTATGTCCAAACTGCTCAAATACTTTAACAAGCCGAGCGCGCCGCCGCCTTGAGCGGTGGCGCCGGCTTCACGCGCGGCCACACGGTCCGCCGACGTGAGTCAACTGCAGTACACGACGGCACGTCGCAGGGTCTGCCGCCCGGCGTGGCAGCGGAGCGGGAGGGGGGGCGCGGAGAGGAGGGCACTCCTCGCCGGCCGGACTCGTGCAGACGCGACCACCAACACCACCGACGACACCGCCACGAGGGGGGGTCGCGGCGGGGGGCGGAGGGGGGTCGTCGAGGTGATCATGCCGTCGACGCTTCGGTCGCCGCCTCCTCGTCTCGCGGGCCCCAGCCGCCGCCGCGCCACCCAGAACACGGTCGTCGAGGGGGCCGCCGTCGTCGCGACCAGGGCCGCCGTCGCCGGGGAGGGAGTCGTCGTCGACGTCGTCGGTGCCGGCGTCAATGGCGTCGTCGTCGGGGGCGGGGTCGCCGTTGCGCGGGTCGTCGCCAGGGCCGCCGAAGCCGCCGGGAGGGCACCCCCACGCCGCCACCACCGCCGCCGCCGCCGCCTGCGAAGCACCGGCGCACACGACCTCAGTTGGCAGCGGGAGACCCTGGAGGATCTCAAGGCCCAGGCGGCACGCTGCGACTTGCAACTGGGCGCGTCGCTGGGTCGAGGGCCCCGCCGAGCAAGTAATCCAGCCAGACTTAGCCGTTACACGTGGCTGAGCGGCCCACCACTCTGGCGGGATCTGGAACTCGGCGCTGAGGCGGGCGCTGGCCTCGGCGAAGCGCGGGCAAAACGCCCACAAATGCCGCGCGGAACAATGGAGTTCCGGGCACCACATACAAGCCTGGGCGTGCTTCGCGCGCCACCGCCGAGTGGGAGTCCGAGTGGCCCCCCCGCGCCAGATGCTGAGCAACGATCGCGCGCGGGGGTCCAAGCTCTGGCGCCAGTCCCGCCACGGGGGGGCGCTCGAGGCCTGTACATCAATGTGCTCGATGCCCTCCTCGTCGTTCCTCAGCGGAAGGCCTCGGCGGGGACGCAGGAAGAGGGACCGGGCCACGACCCGGAGGGCGTGTTGGCCAGGCTCGCCAGAAGCGTCGAAAGCGCCCGCCAGGCCCGGATACCCCAAGACAGCGGCCAGGGCAGGCGGGACCGCGGCGCGCTGCACGGCGGCCTGGGCGCGAGGGCCGGCGAGCCCAGCCCCCACCAACCACACGCCCGGCAGCGGGACAGGCGGAGCCAGGCGAAGCCCAAAGGAGGCGGCATGGTGACCCACGGAGGAGAGCCACAAGGGCGAAGCGGGGTAGTCGGCCGCCGCCCTGAGGGCCTGCAAAGAGGTCCCGAAGACCGGGTGCAGAGTCAGCCGCTCCGCCCACCACCTGCGCTGGCACCACCACGTGCAGTTGGTCCGCGAGTCGCTCCGGAACGTCAGGCGCGTGAGCTCCACAGGTGGGGAGCAAACGAACGGAGCCGCCCAGCGCCACTTAGACGCCACACACTGGATCCAAGCACGCTCCCGGATCTCCGCGGACCCGGGGAGGGTAGCCAGGCGAGTGGTAAGCTCAGTCACCTTACCCCAGCCGTCCCTAGGCAGGGGAACCGGGGGATGGACGAGGCCCGAGGACGCGGCCCCGCGGATGCCGAGGTCCCAAAATGGCCCCAAGATGGCCCCCAGAAGCCCCCCCGAAGGCCCCCGGGAGGCCCCAAGAGGACCCCAAGCGGCCCCAAGAGGCCCCCCCGAGGCACCCAAGACGCCCAAGAGCCCCCCAGGACTGCCAAGAGACCCCAAGATGTCTCAAGAGACCGCCAAGGAGCGCCCAAGCGATATCCCAAGAGCCTCCAAGAGGCATCCAAGAGATCTCTGGCCCTTTTGCTCGCCCTCCTCCTCCTGCTGCTCCTTCCTTCCACTCTGTCTCTTCCTCCTCCTCCTCCTCCTCCTCCTCCTCCTCCTCATCATGTTCATCTTTCTTCTCCCCACTCCCTCATCCATCCATCCAGCCTCCTTCACCTCCTCCCTCCTTCGCTCGGGTCGGCCGTCCCCCTCTTTGCTCCCGCACTTTCCTGATCACCTCAACTCGCCTGGACATCGTTTCTGGATGGGCTGGTGGGGATATGCGAAGCGTCTAGAATTACTCCTCCTCCCCCTCCTCCCGTTCCTCTTCTTGTATTCCTCCTCTACCATCCCCCCTGGACGTCACGACTTCTTCTTGACTTGGGCCCCTCGGACTCTCGACATCGATTCCCTGGGCCAATCTCTCCGTCGCAGGCCGTTCTCTGACAGCCCCAGGGCCCGCGGACGCTTTAAGCACAGCACGCGCTGCGCATCACGACCCTGGACCCTCGACGTCATGACTTGTCCAGAACGGCGAACCTCAGAAGCCTGGACCCATTCCTCCGGACCGCTGTTCCATCCTGAATCGTTTTTTGACGGCCCCGAGGGCCGGTGAGGGCCTCCAGAGACCGAACATATACAGAAGAGTCTCCCGTCGTGATTTTTTCATCGCCCGAGGGGGCCAGGGGCGGGCGCAGCGAGGCAGCCAGGGAGGCGTGCGGCCTCGCCCCCGAGCTTGATCTCCTCCGCCCTCTCGGCCATCTTCTTCCGCATCAGGAAGGGCGCCTGTTCCTCGAGAGGCCGCCGCCGCCATCGCCACCTCCTCTACCTCCTCCTCCTCCTCCCTCTCCTTCTCCTCCTCCTCCCCCTCCTCCTCCTCCTCCTCCTGCTCCTCCTCCTCCTTTTCATCCTCCCCCCCCTTCTCCTCCTCCTCTCCTCCTCCTCCTCCTCCTCCTCCTCCTCCTCTCCTCCTCTTCTCGCTCCTCGCCTCCTCCTCCTCCTCCTCCTCCTTCTGCTCTTCTTCCTCCTCCTCCTTCTCCTCTTCTCCTCCTCCTCCTCCTCCTCCTCCTCCTCCGCTTCCTCCTCCTCCTCCTCCTTCTCCTCTCCCTCCCCCTCCTCCTCCTCCTCCTCCTCCTCCTCTCCTCCGCTTCCTCCTCCTCCTCCTCCTCCTCCTCCTCCTCCTCGACCCCCTCCTCCTTCGATTCCTCCTCCTCCTCCTCCTCCTCCTCCTCCTCCTCCTCCTCCCTCCTCCTCCTCTCCTCCTCGTCCTCCTCCTCCTCCTCGCCTCCTCCTCCTCCTCCTCCTCCTCCTCCTTCCCCCTCCTCCTCCTCCTCCTCTCCTCCTCCTCCCTCCTCCTCCTCCTCCTCTCTCCTCCTCCTCTCCTCCTCTTCCTCCGCTTCCTCCTCCTCCTCCTCCTCCTCCTCCTGGGCGCCGGGCTTCCCTCCGCTTCCTCCTCCTCGCTTCCTCTCCGCTTCCTCCTCCTCCTCCGCCTCTCCTCCTCCTCCTCCTCCTCCTCCCTCTCCTCCTTCTCCTCTCCCTCCCCCTCCTCCTCCTCCTCCTCCTCCTCCTCCTTCTCCTCCTCCCCCTCCTCCCTCCTCCTCCTCCTCCTCCTCCTCCTCCCTCCTCCTCCTCCTCCTCCTCCTCCACCTTCTCCTCCTCCTCCTCCTCTCCTTCTCCTCCTCCTCCTTCTTCCTCCACTTCCTCCTCTCCTCCTCCTCCTCCTCCTCCGCCTCCTCCTCCTCCTCCGCTTCCCCTCCTCCTGCGGGCGCTGGGCTTCCCTGCTCCCCACTGGTAAGGGCTTTGCCTGCGGTCCATCGTCGGCTACACTTTTCGCCTGCGGGTCGAGAGCGAGCCTCTTCGGGTTACAAGCTAGGCGGGCTACGCTCCATCATCGGCTACACGCGAGAGTGACCCTAGGCAAGAGTGACCTTCAGTGCGCGGACTCAGAGGGCGCAAGGTGGCCAAATCCAAGCGCACAAGCAGCAAGTGTCGCACCGCGCTCCTCAGAGCGTTCCGGAACGCTCTGAGAGCGTTCTGGAACGCTTTGGAACGGATTTGTCATCATCCTATCCCCGTCCGCGTAAGGGCTTTGCATGTGGGCCATCGGCTCGCGCTGGAGCTTCCAATGACTCGTTCCCGCTCTGCCAGACATCTTTGGATGAGCATGCGCCTATGTGGGTCTGCATCTGGATTTGCATCAGGTGTACCTCGGTTTCTCTAGCTTGACCCCCGCAAGCCGATCGGACGAGCGCAGTCAAGCCCTTGGGGACCCGGCCCCAGGAAGGAGTGCTCTCCTCCTCCTCCTCCTCCTTCTTCCTCCTCCTCCTCTTCCTTCTCCTCATCCGCCTCCTCCTCCTCCTCCCCCCCCTCCTCCTCCTCTCCTCCTCCTCCTCTCCTCCTCCTCCTCCTCCTCCTCCCTCCTCCTCCTCCTCCCTCCTCCTCCTCCTCCTCCTCCTCCTCTCCTCCTCCTCCTCCTCCTCCTCCCCCTCCTCCTCCCCCTCCTCCTCCCCCTCCCCCTCCTCATTTCTCCCTCCTGCTCGTCCTGTTCTGCCACCGTCCGCCCTCGTCCCTCCTTCTTCTCCTGCTGTTCCTCCTCATCCTGCCTCCCTCGTCCTTCTTGCTCCTCCTGCTGTTCCTCCTCTTCCTCCTCCTCATCCTCCTCCTCATCCTCCTCCTCCGCATGTCTCCCTCCTCCTGCTCCTCCTGATCTGCCTCCGTCCTCCCTCATCCCTCCAGCTCCTCCTGCTTTTCCCCCTCCAACCCCTGCTGTTCATCCTCCTCACTCCTCTCTCCGGACGCCACTTCGCCCGCGCCTTGCTTGTCGCGCGAGGAGCCAAACTGTTGTACCTCCTATGCTTCCTCTTCAATGGGACCGTCCTCGGCACGGCCTTTCCAGTGTGCTGTCCACTCGGATCGCTTTGGGCCTTTCGCCTTCGGCTGTGCTCAAGCGCGCTCGCGCCTCGGCGCCCGCCGCGTTCCTGCCCCACTCTACCCAGGACCCCCGGCGTCATGATTTTTTCATGACGCCGATCCTCAGAAGTCTCGACCCATTCCCGTGGACCGTTTTTGGTCCGGAGTCGTTTTTTGACGGTCCCGAGGGCCTGCAAAAGCCTCCAGAAACCAAACATAGGGAAAACCTCCCGTCATGATGTTTTCATTTTCCGAGGGGGTCTGGGTACACCACTGTTCAGTATGAGTACACGTCTCCGTCCTCCAGTGATGCTGTCCAGTGCGGTCGCCGCCTTCTCCGCCGACGCGGCAGACGCCGCCGCCTCCAGAGAGGACATCCGAGGACCCGCGCGCTCGGCCATGTCCAGGCCGGACGATGGTTCCAGGGCGCTCGCCGTTGCCGTCGTCGTCGTCGTCGTCGTCGTCCTCCTGATCCTCCTCCTCCTCCAGCTCTCTTCCCCTGTCTTAGGGCTGCGCTAAATGTGCGCTTCTGGTAAGGAAGATACCCCCAAAGGGGCAAGATCGAAGACGAAGAGGGCGGGTACCGAGGCTTTGGGGCATACGAAAGGAATAGCACGCGAACGGACACGATCGAGTAGTCTTGAAACGATTGTTGTTGTTGTTGCTGCTGTTGTGGTTGAGATTGGTGTTGTTGCTGTTGTTCGGTGATGTGGGTCGTAGTTGTCGTTGTTGTTGGTGTTGCTGCTGTTGCAGTTGGCGGTGTATGTGTTATTGTTATAATCGTCGTCGTCGTATGTGTTGCTGTTGTTGCTGCTGTTGCTTATTTTGTTGCTAGTGCTGTTGTTGCTGTTGTAGCTCGTGTTGTTGTTGCTTGTGGTGTTGCTGTTGCTGCTGTTGGTGCTGTTGTTATTGTTGTCGTTGTTGTTGTTGAGGTTGCCGTTGTTGTTGGTGCTTCTGTTGTTGAGTTTTCAGTTCAAAGTAAGAACCAGTGTTAATCGCACCTGCGCGATAACCATTATGCTTTTGAATTACAAGTGCTTCCCCCGGGGCTCGCACCCGGATTCTTCCAAGGGGAAGTGAGGTCTGTCTCACCAAACTGAACCCCTGGCCCACGGTTTGCAACAACAGCAACGGCTCCCGCGTGATAGTTTCTCGCAAAGTATTTGAACATCTCGCTCTCGCACAGGCCTTCCTCGCACGTCATACTCAAATCGCGCTTTCGCGTGGGACTTACTCACAATGTATTCAGACGCCGCGCCCTCGGCACTCAGATATCAAGCTCTCGCTTTGGATTCTCTCACGGTTTACATGGAAATCGCGTCGCTCGGGACAGACTTGCGATTTCTGCAGGACCCACGCCTCAGCAACCCACCTGCTCGACCAGGCCGCCTGGGCCCACCTTCCCGACCCGCCCGTTAGGGCCTACCCTCCCGGTCTGCCCGCCTGGCTCTGCCACCTGTTTTGTGCTCCTGGCCCCCTCTTCTGCTAGTCTCTGTCGTGCTCAATATGCCTCCCTCCCTCTTACCACTTCCTTCCATCCATCCCCTCTTCCCCCGCCTTAGAGGCTGCACGGAAAACACGCTGCCGGTAAGAGAGATATACCCCCAAGTCGGGTATGACCGCAAACGAAAAGGGCGAGTAGCGAGGGCTTGGAATCCACGGGTCGAATGGCACGCGAGCAGGTAAGAGCGAAGAGTCTTAAAACAAGTATTGTTGTTGCCGTTGTTGTTTTTACTGTTGTTATTGCGGTTGAGCACCCATGTCTAAAAGCAGTGATTGTTGACCCCCCTCCGGCAACCATTACTTGTTCATCGAAGTGCTTCTCCTGGGGCTCACACCTTGTTTTTAAAAGAAAGTGAGGTGCCACAAAATTCGGTTCCTGGCCCCACATTTACAATAACAGCGGCTCCCGCCTGCTACTTCCGCACAGCTTCTTAAAAAATCGCGCTCTCGCGCGGGCCTTCCTCATAAATTATACCGTGATGCCTTAATCGCGCTCTCATCTGGGACCTCCTCACAACTTACTTAAGCGCTGCGCCTTCGACACTCAAGAATCACGCTCTCGCTGTGTTTTCTTTTCTAACGAGTACATGAACATCGCGCAATCGCTCGACACATCCAGGCGAATTATGCAGGACTCACGCTTCAGCAACCCGTCTGCTCGACCTGCCCGCCTGGGCCCACCTTCGCGACCCCCCGCGAAGGTCTGCCCTCCCGATCTGCCCATCTGGTTATACAGCGTGCCTCCTGTTTCTAGACCTCTCTTGCCAATTTCTCTTGTGCTTTGCTCGAGATTTTCTCGCGATCCAAGCAGAACTCACGCTTCAGCAACCCGCCCGCTCGACTTGGCCGCCCAGGCCCGCCTTCCCGACCCTCTCGTTATTGTAGGGTCCGCCAGCCCGATCAGCCCGCCTCGTTTTGCCATGTGGGTTCTGCTCCTGGCCCCATGCGTCCTGCTAGTCTCTCTCGTGCTCCATGCTTCTCTCTCCCCCATCGGCCCTCTCCTCCCCTGTTGTCCTCTCTCGTCCCCTGTTTTAGGGGCTGCGCTAAGTGTACGTTGCAGATAAGGAACATGTGCCCCCAATGGGGGTATGGCCGAAAACAGGGAGGACGGGTATCGATCGATTGGGGTACACGCGCTGAAGGGCACCCGAACAGACAAGAGCGAACCATCTTAAACTAATGATTGCTGTTGTTGCTCGTGTTGATGATGTTGTTGCTGTTGTTGTCGCGAAGGGCCCAACATTGCAGTTTGAGCATGAATACCTTCCCTGAAAAAGGGTGCAGGCCCTGAAGGGGGCGGTTTAACTGAAACAACACAATGTGCAACGGTGATGGGGGGGATCAACCATCATGTTGCAATATTGTTAGTTCAGAAACAACAACAAACTACAACAAACAACAACAGCGCAACATCCGCACCGCGGAATCCCACTTCAGTCACTCACACAGGGACAGTGAATGACAGTTCGGCCCCCTCACTCTGATAGTACAGCGCAATTGAAACGAATGCGCCAGAGGGGTAGGATACCTGTTGTAGGTGTATATGTGTTGCCCCTGTGTTCCCTCCTCCTCCGCCCTCCTCCTCTATCCTCTTCCTCCTCGCTCCTCTCTCTGCATGCCTCTGACATCTTCCCGCTGGTGCGATGTATGATCGTTTTACCGAGCAGCGGCAACGGTGGGATTGCTGTGAAGACAGTTGCGGACCTGCATGTCGGATCCAATCGGCAAATTGATAATTCCGCTCCGCCCTCGTACCGAGAAGTCCAACACATCCTCCTCCTCGTCTTTCTCCTCCGCCTCTTTCCCTCGGAGTTGTTGGTGCTACCCCCCCCCCCAACCCTCCCGAAGAAATCACAACTCGATGAAGCACCCCCCCTGTTCCTCTTCTGCTTTCTGCTCCGCCCCTCAGTGCACCTGTTCTTTCTTCTCCCGCTCCTCCACCTCCTCCAGCTCCTCCACATCCTCCTTCGCTCCTACGTCTCGTCCTCCTCCTCCTCCTCTTCCGCGTCGTCGTCAGCATCAGCATCATCGTCAGCATCATCATCAGCAGCATCATCATCATCATCAGCATCATCTTCAGCAGCATCATCGTCGTCATCATCATCAATATACACATCGTCATCAACGTCATCATCAGCATCAGCATCAGCCATCATCATCATCATGTTCATGACCAGCATCATCCTCGTCCTCATCATCATCATAATTAGCCCCATCCTCATCCTCACCCTTCTCCTCCACCATCATCGTCACCATCATCAGTATCACATTCCTCATCACCATCATCATCAGTATCAGCATCATCGTCATCATCATTGGCCTCCTCATCATCTTCATTACCCTCATCATCCTCATCATCACCATTGTCATCGTCATCACCATCACCACCACCACCATCATCATTATCAGCATCAGTCGCAGAAGCCTCCTCACCATCATCATAATCATCATCAGCATCATCACCATCATCATCCTCATCCTCATCCTCATCCTCCTCCTCCTCCTCATCATCATCATCATCATCTTCATCGCCATCACGATCATCACCACCACCACCGTTATCAGCATCACCATCATCATCATCATCATCATCATCAACATCGTCATCATCGTCATAGTACTCGTAATCGCCATCGTCATCATCATCATCATCATCATCATCATCATCATCATCATCAGCAGCATCATCATTCTCATCATCAGCATCATCATCAGCAGCAGCATCCTCACCACCATCCTCATCACCATCATCATCACTCCCGATCCTGCCGATCTCTCATCCACACCTCCTCCCTCGCTCCCGCCTCCCCCTCCCCCCGTCCTGCTCCTGCCCCTGCTCCTCCTCCTCTTGACGCCAGGCAGCCTGAAGCACTCTCGACGCGCTGCGCAGGCGGAACATCCAAAGACAGTTATCGAGAGGCCAGCCGCCGGCGGAGTGCCCCCGTGCCAACGGCCGCACGACGGACCGAGCGTTGGTGGCGAGACACATCCGGCCACAGGAACATCCGCGTCGTGCGACCCCAGCTTTCTCGTGTCCAGCCTGGCTACCTCCCGCACCACCCTGATCCAACTAGAAAACGTGTATTTCGGGTTGGGGGGGGGCACGGGTTCCACATGTGCTTTTCTGAACGTTCCCTGCTCCCCCCCCCATAGGAAATGGAGGGCAAATTGAGGCCTTCGGGTTGGGTTGCCGTGGTCTGGTGGGTGGTGACATCCCCCTTTCCCTCCACTCGTCCCTCCGAGGAAGCCTCGCACTCCTGCTCCTGCGTCTCCCGCCAATGAAGAAACTCTTGCGCGTCTCACGCGTGCTGCCACCGGCACGCGACGAACAGCATGCGAACAACGGCAAGCAACATCATCGGGAAAGCGAAGACGTGGGCACGGCTGCGTCCTGCTCGTTCATCGCTCGCAGCGCCATCACCTGGCGGTCCGAAAAGATGGAGAAAGAGCCGCCCGTCATTGAGAAAGGAGGGGCTGCCCGGCACACAATACGCAATATCGGGCAGCATCGAATCGGGAAGCCGGATCGACTCGAGCTGTGCGTCGGATCGGGCTGCCTCAGCACAGACTCGGAGACGAATCGGACCGGCCGCGCCGGGATGCGCAGCAACACGCTGCAGGCACCGAGCCGAACGAAATCTCGTCGGAATACCGGAAGCGAGCGGGCTCGGGCAGTCCGAACGAGCGCAGATCTTTTCGATTGGCGATGATATTGTACTTACTTAACCTATTGAGTTTCATAGCCAAACAACATATTCCAGCTTGTTTTGCTAGTCGAGGCCCAATGTAACGGCCCTTACTAGGGATGCTCCCCCCCTCCTGCCCCCCGCCTGGTAACGGCACGGTTCGCGCCAGTGCGAGTTGGAAATTGCATTGGGCGAGTCGTGGCGTTGCCAGCCCCAGCGCCGCTCCTTCCACCCCTGTGGTAACGGCCGCATCGCCAAGGTGTAAAACATCGGCCCCATTCTAAGAAAAAACACAACTGGCTACATGCACGTGGGGAAGATCAGCGACTGGCACTACGAAGGGCGCGTGGAGCAGCGCCGGCGACCCTGTGCGGAAACCGCGACGAAGGGCCCTGCGCAATGCGGCAACTGCCCGGCGCGGAACCGCGACCACGTGCAGACACCTAGCGTTTCACAGGCGGCGGAAGCAGCGGCCCGTCTGTCACCCTTCCGTTTTGGGTGGCGGTGCTGAAACGTTTGCGCGAAAGGCGAACGACTATGCCGCATTCCGACGGCAGGCTGTCAAACCACGGCCAGCAACAGAGGTCAGGGGCGTGTGACCACGCGGAATCGACAACGTCGGCCACGATGGTGCTAAACTGGGGCGTCCCCGAAATTAGGCAACCGAGGCATCGTTGCCGATGGCGTGAAGCCACAGGGGGGCCCGCAGGAGCTCTAGCCGCGCGCTGCAACACACCGCGCGAGCGACGCACTCAATCTCGTTGATTTACGCGGACGATCTCTGATCACCGCGCCGAGCCTTGAAATTTCAAGGGGCCCCCTGGCATCACCGAGTGCCAACTGCGTCGGCGCGCCCACTTGCGAGCCCAATCAAGAAGCGAGCGCCTCCTACTCAGACCAAAAAGGCCGACGAGAAGACTGAACGGCCATTTCTAAGGCCGCCGAGCAAATCGCGGCACGGTGCATAGTCTCTACTAAAACAAAATTACGCACCGTGCCGCCCGGGGACCTACATATGGCGAGGCCTCTCAGAGAAACCCATATGACCCTTCACCCGCGGAGCCGCCCCGCAGGGAATTCCAAAGGCGCGGACGCGGGCGCATGTCGGTCGACAAACAATGCATCGCTATCATGCGCAAGTCGGCAACTATGAAAAATGCACCAGGGAGGTGGCCACGGCACGGTGCACGTAGATCGTCCGCGGACGATTTGCCCGTCAACGTCCGCGCCCTCGCCTTTCGCCCATTCACGGAACACCTCGCCAGGGATATCGAGCTGGAACCACCGCGGGTGGCGACTGCCCCCCTCGCCGGGAGGGCTCCAGATGGCCGCCGCCATACTACCAGAGCCCTCGCCGTCGCGCCTCGCGGCCACAACAGGCCTGCAAAGGTTCTGGCGACCCCGCCGGAAACGGGCCCAGAGGGGAAAACGACGAGCCCGACTTTATCGCAGCCCTGATACTGTCATTCAACACATGGTGGCCGTGCGTGCTATACTGGCGTTTCTTGAAAGGCCCACTTGCACGCGGCCAAACCTGCTGAAGAGTGGCCCCGATGCGAACGCCAGCTTGCCGTGCCATCCTGCCGGTAGCACGCAGTTCAACCGCTCTGCGTCCTGGGCGTCGGCGAATTCCGCGCGCGTCGCGCTGGCGCGGGCCGGCAGGACCTTTGCATCGCAAGGCGGGGCGGACAAGCCGGGCCGAGTGCCCGACGACTTGAACTGATAGGCGGGCAGCGGAAACAACGGGCCGCCTGGCGCTGCGATTTTTGGGCCGATCAGCTCGTGGAGCGCATTGAAAAGAAGGCGCGCTTGAGCCGCGCAACCAGTTGGCTCGACGCAGTGGCTGTCGTCCTCGCAGAGCCGCGCTGGCGCCGGCAGGTAGTGCTGAAGCAGTGCGCACGTGGCTAAAGGCAGCCTCGCGCATGTCTGGACACGCGCCGCCACGCCACAGGGGCTACTCATCAGGCGACCAAGCCTGACGCGCCATGTGCGAGTGCACCAGAATGCAAAGATCAGATTGAGACCCGCAAGGGTCTGTCTGCAAATGATTACACAAGTCCGCGCAGGCGAACGCTCTGGCACATGCCCCCCCTCCCCATAGCCTCGCGACAGCGACGTGGTGGTCCACGCCTGCAGAGCGATGCATGTTGTGCCCGCCGAGCGTGGCGTTGGCCTTGTTTGCAGAACCATCGTCGGCGTTCCGAACGTCATCGTCTTGAGACTGGGCCTCGCTACGGACGAGGATTTCGTCGTTGAAGGGACAGGCCTCTTGCGTGTCGAACGAACCTTTATATCAGGTTGAGCCCGAACTCCTCGCCCGCCCCCTCGCAGGCCCGCTCGTCGAGCATGTGGTCACCAACGGGGCCGCACTACCTGGCCAGCGCATCGTCGCGCCCAGGGCCCTGTTCCCGGCACTCGCAGACAGACGCGGCAAGCGAAGTGCACGCGATCGACTGCACGCCGCCGTCCTTCGCGAAAACCACAATCGGAGCGCCGTCGAGCAGGTCCAGGAGTAATCCCACGTCGTCGCGCCCAGCGCAGGTGCCTGCGGGAAGGAGGTCAACCAGAATGCCCATGCAACATCACCTGGTCAGGCGAGAGGCTGGACTTCTAAGCTTGTTTTTTTGTGTCTGGACAGAACACCTGGGCGACGCAACCCGGAGGGAGGTGCCCAAGTTGCCTGCGTGAACTCACATGCAGTCGGACCTCGCAACATGAACGGCGGCACAGACCCGCCCCAGGCGTCACATCTGCGCCGCCGTGGCGAGGCGCCTCGAGATGCCATCCCGAGACACGGCCACCATCCCCACTTGGCCGCTGGCCTCAAGCAGTGGAGGCCCCGCCGCCCAAGGACTTAAGTTCCCGCGCCCCCCACGTCGGGGGACCCCTTCGAATGACCTCATCGGGCCTCTCAGGGGTGGTACGGCGGGCCCGCGCCTACTGTGGCTGGAGTCTCTCCCACAGCCCCGTCGAGCTGCGGTGACAATCGGGCTGCCAACCCGCCTGTTTTCCTGGGGCGGCACGAGGGCACCCAGCGGCACAGGTGCCACTTCTAAGCTTGGTTGCTTGCGACTGTTTCAGCCTGCTTTCGGAAAGCACGGGGTACAGCTCCCACCTATAGTGCGCCGCGTCGTGTCCAAGCCTGGCCACACGTTGGACACATTGGACTAGCCTGGCTGGCAACGGCGCGACCTCGCCAATGGATGGACAAACTGAGTAGGGGCGAATTCAATGAACTCCTCCGGCAGCAAAACGAAAACAAACCGGCCAACAGCGCGGCCCCGGGACTGCCTGCCAGCGTAGACCGCGAGACCGGCCGCGTGCGCCGCCTGGGCGGGGCACGGGGGGCCAAGTGCAGGCGCGCGCGACGCGCCGCTGCCATTCTGGTACGCAACAGGGGGGCAAAGCCCCGGCGACGCGCCAGCAGTCGTCAGCGCGGGCGTGAGTGGCGCGTTCGGCGCAGGGCCCCGCTGCCCCCGCCCATGTTCCCACCTGGGATGCGCTGTGTAGCAGCCCTAGATGTCGCAGCAGTGCGCGGCCCTCTGCGATGTGCGCTTGCACCTTCGCGGGGAGCAGCCGACAGTTTTGCAGTCGGGTCGTAGGAGGTCGCCAAAAGCTACTACGAATTGTGGCCTGGGGCGCGACTCCCCCCCCGCAGGGGCAAGCGAGTTGCCTCGCATTGGGCCGCCGCCGCCCGACGACCGCCCAATGCGGCGCCAACTCGGCGCGCCCTCGTTGGAACCGCTGGGCGGGCGTTTGTGCGACTGTGCGGCGCCGCGGCGTCCGCTCGCACTTGCCAGCCCTTGCGCGGCGGGCAAGGCAGAGAAGTGGAGCGGACTCTGCTTCTCTATGAAGGTCTGGTGGGAATCGCCGAAGGATGACACAGTCTGGTCCGCAGGGACCTGCCTCAATAGCTCCACGATCGGCGTGCGGGGCTACAGCTTTGCCAACTGAAGTGCCCCCAAACTGGGCCAGACCTTGGTGCTGGGAAGGTTCGTCGTGGCCAAATCCATGAGCGTGTCCAGACACGAGCGGCCAAGAACACCAAAGTACGTCGCGTTTCGCTTTGTTGATGCACCTCGTGAGCCGATCACAGAGCACCCTGTGTACAGGATCCGAACGTTGAGGAACTACAGGGCAACCCTCAGCGACTTGCTTTCGCCGGCTTCCGGGACATGGCCGTGCGCACCACAACTAACATCGATCCCGGGCACGACCTCGAAATTCTTCGTGTGAGCGGTCTGGGACACCACACACGCGACTGTGGCGAAGTTAGTGACGGTGAACGTCCGCGTTCCCGCTCATGGCTGAGGCGGACCAGCAAAGCTTCACTCGGGTGGCGGGCGAACTACAAGGGGAAACGGTGGTGCGCGCTGTGAGCCTCGATGAAAGTCGTGCGCGTGACGGGGCCGATGGGCGCATTGAAGTTTTCTCCCAGTTTGTCACTGCCACCGCGCGTCTTCTCCTCGTCACGGAACGCTGCAGCTGCGCACGCCTGCCTCAGCGCAGCTACGCTGGTTCTGTCGGTGATTGCTGGCTCCGTGGCCGCGAGGATCTCAGTCCACTCCTTCATGCCGCCCACGAACTCGACGAACTGCAGCAGTTTGAAGCAGCCGCGGGCAACCAACATGTCGCACGACCACCTGGTCCACGCTGAACTCGCCCAGACTCTGGCCCAGCTCGGTCCCCATCCCGTCGCACCTGTCGGGGAAGGCGGGCGGGTGAGCGGGCCCCC